TCCTCCATCCTCCAAATCATTATATCTGTAGACAGCCATTTGATCATTGAAGCTTCGTATTACTTTACAGTAGAAATAATGTCCACCTGGTAAGGTACTAAATGCACAAGCTATCAGCGTATATTCCAAAGTTTTTTCACCTGATTTGCAATAAAGATGCAATGGAAAGTCTAATTGATTTGATGGATGATATGAATTACCATCTCTCTGAGTCAATTCAAATATTAAAATTGGTGGATAAGAAATTATATATTCTTCATAATTAATTTTCCAATTAATACACTGACCAAGATTTGAACAAACATAAGGACAGGGTTTATCAGGATGTACATGAAAAATTATTTCATTCTTATTTGTGAATAATGCAGAAACTTGCCAATTTAAATGTTAAAAAAAGGACCATCAAAATCCTCCATCCATTTATTGAGTAAAATGGTTTAATTGGTATTGTAGAAATTTTAATATGTCCTGAATTACATGTCCATTTTCACAATCCAAGAACACAAAAACCTGATACTCTATTAAATATTTTATTTCCATTTATGATATATTATTGAAATGTACATAAGTGACTTGAATTCATATTCCTTTGGAATAACTTTTCAATAAAGGAAATATTAACAAGTTTCAACTTGGAAATTAATTTCTTTTTGTTATCATCAATCAACTGCTCTCCTACCTAACAATATTATTTGGTATGAAAATTATCATCTTTATTGTAATTTCCTGTCCTTTCGAGAAATTATGTGGAAAAAGTCAAGGGACAGGTGTGGCACAGTAACCCTGTCCCCTGTCCTTTTCAATTTTTTACTTGGAAAACTCAAAAAGGACAGGGAACAGTATGCCTTGTCCCACTTCTGCACCACAACTGTCCCAAGGTTTTCCCTGTCCTTTTTCATATTTTCATGCGGGTCAACTGTCCCAAGTCCTGTCCTTTTGCAGATTTAGTGGGTAAATATTGAAAAGGACAGGGGATAGGGAACCAGCCACTTATAACTGTCCCCTGTCCTTTTCATGTGACTCAACCTTTACCTATATAATCATCTCTATTGATGAGAACATATTTGCTGAGGCTAAGCTTGAGTAATGCAAGCTCCTTGGAAACTTGAACATCCTGAGATTTGGTTTTTCTCAAAAAAAAAAGTGCTTTGATTGAGTACAAGAGATTGGAAGAAATTAATCATGATGGATTGAAAACTTTAATGTAAAATGTTTATTACTATATTAATATAGTTTTTTAACAAAGTAGGCTTGGTAATACCAGTAACCTTTTCTGGGGATGCCTGTTTACTGCAATATCTTGCTATTTAATCACTAATAAAATAATTAGCTCATGGGAAAATATCTCAAACAACAGAGAAGTAAATATTCTAGCATTCTAATTAAATTAAGATTTCTGGGTCCTACCCAATCAACTGACAGACACTATTCCCTAAATGGTTAATCGGCTATTGATAGCTGATAAAATTTTTTTGATATAAATAATTTTTTCTGAGGGCATCACTTTCTAATACAAAAATGATCTTTGAGATTCAGCCGATTAATCTATAAATAAAAATCCAGTTGTTGTCCTTGTGGTTTTTG